GGCACGGCGACACAGACAGGCTTGAGTTGAGGGGGAAGGTGGTACGTCGACATGGACGTGCACTCGGCGCCGGTGGCGGCGAGGAGGATGTGGGGGTACCTGCGGGCGGTCTTCTTCATGATGCGCAAGGGCAAGCGCAAGCTGCTCCTCGGCGCGCACCTCCTCATGAAGCGCCGCAACAAGGCCGTCTCGCGCTCCGTCGCCAACCTCCTCTCGCACCACCACCACCACGGTCACCACGGCGGCCGCGCGCTGCGCCGCCGCGAGTACGAGTTCTCCTGCGGCGACAGCCCCGACCCGGGCTCCTTCTCCATGCGCCGCCTCGCCTTCCCCTGCCTCGGCGCCGCCGACGACGTCGACCAGCCCGGCCGCCTCCGCGCCGAGCACCCCGCGCCCGCCACGCCGCCGCGGCACATGATCGAGTACTACGCCAACGCGGCGGCCGCGTCCCCGGCGCCGTCGTCGCCCGGGGCGCTGATGATGATGCACGAGGAGTCCGAGCTCGCGCTGGGGGAGGAATGCACGCCGGCGGGGATGTCACCGCTGGTGCCCGGCGCGGCCGACGGCGGGTTCTCGGTGCGGGTGTCCAACTTCTCGTCGGACGAGGTCGACACCGACCAGCTGGGCCTGGGCGAGGCCGTGGACGACGAGGCGGAGGAGTTCATCGCCCGCTTCTACGCCCAGCTGCGCCGCCAGAACCACATCGGGCTGCTCCCGTACTACCTCCAGGAGGCCGCCGCGTGATCGGCGAGCCGATGAAGTTACCTAGCTGCGACGGCATTGTGCGGCGAGGCCTGCCGGAGATCGATTCCATGATTGCTTGGACGTGGTGGGGTGACCGTGCGCACGCAACGGCGCATGCATGCTTGCTTGTCCATGGCTGGCATGCGTGTGTCGGGGGACAGGAATACGTCGTGTGCACGAATGTGTAGCAGTTACATCATCATGTATATACATGCACGTACGTACGATTGCGCATGCGTGACAGCGTGGGCATGTACCCTCTTCTTTTTCTGCATGTATTTAAGTGTAAAGATGTGATACATCGAGTCCCGGATGGGTTTTAGTTGCTGGGATCAAGTATGCTTTGCATTGTAAATTTCATTGTATTCGTGTACGTGGTAACTTGATCAATATATGTTTATCAAAAAAAAAACTTGATCAATATATATGTGCATGCCATCTATATCTCACTTCTAACTTTGAGGTACTATTCCCATCCTATTCATATACCAAGTCCAAGGGTAAATGTATTTTAAGTGTGCGAGTTTTTTTTTTTTTTTTGCAATACAAGAAAGATGCACAGATGGCGCTACCGCACATGTATGTACATGGAAAAACGGGCCCCAGTTTTATTTTATTTGAGTTGAACCAGCCTCCGAATTGGTAGTGGGAATATGGTTTTCACTTTCAGTGAAAATTATCGAAGTTTTGCAAATTTCAGTCACTTCGTTATGAAATAATTACCTTTTGGTCAGAATATTTCATCATACTACACAAATTCAAATAATTTCTAAAGTATTTCCATTTTTTTTAATATTCATCAGTTGGATTTCAATCAAATTTAAGTGAAAATTGTGGTCCCTTCGCCGAAATGAAAACCAAGGAAACGCTAAATTCGGTGAAAATCAGTAATATCGGCCACGCCAAATATATGATATGGCATTCAAAACCCCTAAAAATGCAACTTCTAACACTTATCAGCAGTCAGAGGTTTGAGTGTGCTGAGATGCTTTAATCAACTAGGTGCTAAGGAGCCCTCGCTTGATACAGACGATAATTAGAGCTGTATTTTCTTCCCCATTAGTAGGAAACTCAGTTCTCCTTGCATGGCTGATGATATACGGTTAATAAATCTTCTAATCTCCTCGTGGAGAAAAAGAATATATCTTCATCTGCACTGTCCTCTGCTCGGCTACGTGCTCTCAGTACTGTTCGCTCCGCAGCTTCCATCGGACAGCAGAACAGTACTGTCGTTTGGTGGACGGCAGCGGCGGTACGGTGCAGGGCTGGGCAATGATCAACGAGCGGCCCCGATTTGTATAAACCCAGGGCCAGCTGTAGCTTAATGAAGATTTTGGCAAAGCTATGCCCACATATAAAAAGTAAGTAGATCTACTGAACATAATTGGCACTAGTTAACATATATCGTGCGTGCTGAAGCAGCAGTGCTACCTAATCCGGGGCAGACCGCGGAGTCACCATAATCAAAGGGTTTTATTAGTGTGCAACAACGGAACAAAGTCGGTCGATCCAAAAGCATGCATGCACCCACCGGACGAAAGTTGATCGGAAAAGCATGCGAGTACAAGCTACTTGCACTTTAAATTACAGCGCAGCAGGGGACGGCCGCTGTTCTTATCCAATCACCAATCCTTATCCGCTTGAGTTTCGAAACGAGAAAAAGAAAAATTCCATGAACATTCGCAGGGACACGCACCTGTGCATCCGTCTAGAGCCGTTGATTTGCGCTGTGATCCGAGAAATTGTTTTAGCGAAAATTGCCTGAAAAATGGAGCAAATTCGGAAGCTTCTCAATACGAGACAATATAAATGTTTTGTTAGAATAGAGATTGTAGAGATAGCTGTCTGTTTTAAACTGTATTCCGTTCCTATCTCTTCTTTTGTTCTGTTCTTCCTCTCCAAGTCATATGTCTCTTTCCCGATGTATTCTGGAAGCATCCTAGCGATATTCCAAACCTTGTAAGCCACAGCAATCTTTCCATAAATACACATGCGGCCCGAGCAAAGGGTTTAACGCTTCCCATCAAATCTTACATGGTCATCAGAGCCCTTCCTCTCGTACGTCTAGCTTTTCTAAGATATCGATCTAGTTGATCGAGAGAGAAACCTGAAACCTATCCAGAGAGAGGCATCGAGAGAAATCATGTCAGGCACAAACTCGAGCACCGCTGCTTCCACCATCGCCGCCACCAACACCGCCCTGATCGGTTCCACCATAAGTACCATGTCCACCCAATCCGCACCATCCACCTATGCATCTTCCTCCACCTTCAGCAGCGTCTCCTCTCTCGGGTCTCCTCCATCTGAGAAGCTCACGAGGACGAACTTCCTTCTCTGGAAGGCCATCGTGCTACCCCAAATAAAGGGAGCACAGATGGAGCATTTCCTGGACGCCGCAAGCTCGGTGCCTCCTCCTACCATCACCATCACCAAGGATGGGAAAGAAGAGCAAGTCTTCAACTACGCCCGGCCGATCTGGTATGCCCAGCAGCAACAGGTACAAGGATACCTTATGGGGTCTCTGTCACGTGAGATTCTTGCACGGGTAGTTACTCTTCAAACGCCGGCCGAGGTGTGGAGTGCCATCCACGCCTCCTTCGCTGCCCAGACGCAAGCACAGATCGTCAACACCCGCATCGCCCTCGCTAATCTGCACAAAGGACACATGGGCATGCCGGAGTATCTGGCGAAGATCAAGGCGTTCGCTGATGAGATCGCCTGCACCGGTGATCCTCTCTCTAAAGGAGAGATAACTTCATATGTGCTCAAAGGGCTGGACATCGAGTATAACCCGGTGATCTCAGCCCTGGCTGCACGTATCGAGCCGGTGACCGTCCGGGAGCTTTACAACCAGTTGCTAAGCTTTGAAGCTCGTATGAATCTGCTACAAGGTAACAATCTCCGCCGGTCATCAGTTAATTATGTCTCATGTGGTCGCGGCATTGGAGGCCGAGGCCGTGGTCACCGCGGTCACCAAGGGCGCGGGCGCGGCAACGGCAACAACAGCGGGCGTGGGTGCGCCAACAACTCTGGCCCACGCCCCTCCGGCGCCTCCTACTCCAACAACAGGCCACATTGCCAGCTCTGCAAAAAGTCAGGGCATGAGGTGAAAGATTGTTGGCACCGCTACGATGAAGATTACGTGCCTGAAGAGCGCCACGTAGCTGCAGCCATCAGAGAGCAAGAAGAAGCCGGGGACACCATCTGGTATGCGGATTCTGGAGCCACATATCATGTCACCAGTGAGTTGGATAAGCTTGCAAATCGAGAGAGATACTATGGCAATGATCAGATAAACACCGCCGCAAGTGGAGGAGGTATGGACATATGTCACATTGGTCAACCCTCTATTAATTTCCCTAATGTTAAACGTGATCTTCTTCTAAAGGATGTCCTTCATGTTCCTCAAGCCAACAAAAACCTTGCTTCCATGTCTCGTTTGTCCGCTGATAATAACATCTTTTTTGAAACTCATCCCAAGTATTTTTTCATTAAGGATTGGGCAACGAGGGAGCTCCTCCATCACGGTAGATGCGTCGGTGGTCTATATCCTATCACATCAAGAGCTTTTAGCCGCAAGCATCATCACCAAGTCTACTCCGTCGTCAAGCCATCCTTAGAGAGGTGGCATCAAAAATTAGGTCATCCTTCATTAAAAATAGTTGATCAAGTAGTGAATAAAGGAAATCTTCAATTGTCTAGTCGTGAGAATAAAGAGTCTGTTTGTGATGCTTGTCAATGTGCCAAGAGTCACCAACTCCCCTATCCTAGATCAAATAGTGTGTCTCATTCTCCGTTGGAACTGATATTCAGTGATGTATGGGGTCATGCCAGAGATTCCTTTGGAAGACAGAAATATTATGTTAGCTTTATTGATGATTATAGTAAGTTTACATGGATATACTTACTTAAGTTCAAATCTAAAGTTTTCTCTGTCTTCCAAGAATTCCAAAAACTTGTTGAGCGTCAATTTAACAAGAAAATCATTATAGTCCAGAGTGACTGGGGAGGAGAGTATGAGAAACTCAACTCTTTCTTTCGAAGTATAGGCATTGAGCATCATGTTTCATGTCCACATGCACACCAACAGAACGGTTCTGCTGAACGCAAACACCGTCACATCGTTAAAGTTGGTCTTTCCCTTCTTGCTCATGCATCTATGCCTCTGAAATATTGGGATGAAGCTTTCATTGCCGCCACATATCTTATCAATCGTTTGCCTAGTAAGGTCATTGGAAACACAACTCCTTTAGAACGATTGTTTCATCAAAAACCAGATTATAATTCCCTCAAAGTTTTTGGATGTGCATGCTATCCAAATCTGCGTCCATATAATCGCCACAAACTAGAGTTTCGCTCCACTCAATGTGTCTTCCTTGGCTATAGCAATCTCCATAAGGGATACAAGTGTCTAGAGGTTTCAACTGGACACATCTACATCTCTCGGGATGTGATTTTTGATGAAACTATTTTCCCTTTTGCCAAACTTCATCCCAATGCGGGAGCTCTTCTTCGAGCTGAAGTTTCTCTTCTCTCAGATCCTTTGTCACGTACTGATCACGGGGGAGAATTAATAGAACATGATCATGTGTCTAGTCCAGAAGAAAATTCAGAAACTAATGAAAAACATGCATCATTTGGCTATGATTTTATGTGTGCAGAAAAGGATGAAAATCGCGCTGGATCCCATGCAGATTTGGTGCAGAACTGTGATTCCAGAGAAGGCACGCGATCCCAGGATGATTGCCACGCGCGATCCCAGGCTGACAGCCCTGTCGCTCGGCGCGTAGCAGAGTTTCCCGCGTCTTTAGAGGCGCCACGTGGTGGGACCAGTCCACCTGCTGAGCCCATGGCCGACCGAAGTCCAGGTGTGGACCCATACGACGCGGGGCGCAGCCCGTCCGCACACGCTGCATGGGAGCCGGCGCGCTCTGGGCCCGACAGCTCGACCGGGGTGGACCCCGCCAGCAGCGCCATGCAGAACTCTCCTGCTGAGGCGT